GTAGGGAACTCTACAGCTCTGAGCAGGTTTTGTTGCTACCAAAAATTTTAAGGGCTAGTTAAATAATTTGCTTGAATGCACTGAACTACAGTAGTATGTGAAATCTGACTTTTCACTTTGTGAAATGAGGCCATTTCTGCTTAATTAGAACTTCTTAGGTCTGGAGGCATCCTGAGAATGTTTTGTGAGTTTTCTGGAGGATATTTCTGCAGTAAAGAACTGAATTTGGCCTTAAAAAAAATAATAATACATTAAAACAAACAAAAACCTGCCCACTTGAGCACTGAATCCTTACCTATAAAAGGCTGGTGTGGCTTTACTGGATTTCCTGGACAGAATAATATATTTCCTTTGAATGACACTGGCGACCCAGTCAGGTTGATGCTAAAAAAAAAAAAAATAAAATTAAAGTCCTTAGGCTCCATGTTTGCCTCAAACTCAGTTTGAGTATTCTGTCTTTTTTCTGTAGTGTTTTTATCTTTCTTCCTGGCACCCTTAATGTACTGCCCTTCTGCCAGAACAGAATTGAAGCTAGCAACTGTTCCAACTAGGTGTATCACTCAGTCGTGTAGTTTTTCTTTTGAACTAACAAATAGCAACCACAACACTCCATAGATCCAGGATTCAGAACCATTTTCCCTCTTTCCAGGCAGTCACTCAAATATCTATCTTCTGATGAGCTTTCACTTCAAAGTAAAGCTAATGAAGTGGCTGTCAACATGTTGCAGTTAATGCTGCTGCTCTGACTACAGGCAAATAAATATGTAAAGGAGAAAAATAAATCCTTATTCAGCTTCTCAGATGGAAACTACTTTGGCTGTATTTGCCCCACTTCCTGATTAGTCTGCACAATAACTCTTACTCTAATGTTTGTCATACTGACTCTTTTTTTTTTGCAAATACTAAAGAAATATTCATAGGAAATTAAAGTTTGTAATTTCACTTGTGTTGGAAATGTGGTTTTCAAGACCTTGAAAATATCTGTTCAGGGCAGAAAAACATGATGATTCATTTATCTGATCAAAGCATGCCAGTAAATGATGGAGGGAAGTGATTGAGGGAGTATTATTTAGCCTACTCTGTGAATTATCCTTAAAAGCAGATATACTTTTTAAAAATTATAATTTTAAGCTGTTGTAATTCTGTTGCCACAGAAAAATTGTACCCTTCCTTCTGAGAGGTGTTTATGCACTGACAATAGAAACAGCAAACTGGTTAGCTATTCAGTGAAGCAGGATAATTCCTTTTATTGCTGAGCCTTCAACCATATTCTGCCACAGGAAAGCAAAGATAAATATTTGGCTGGAGTGTGCAAGATAAATGTTGTAGTTACAGAGGACTTACCAAGTTCCCCTATATTCCAGGATGGGAGCAGTTTACCTGGAATATACTACTGCCTAGCTGGAGGGAAGGAGTTTCTGGCCTTTTTTTGCTGGGTGAAGAAACTTTAAGGAGAATTCTCCCTGGCTGAGGAAGTGAGGAGAAGCATAAGCAATGGGCTTTTGGGGGCCATTTCACAACCTGTCACTGGAGCCAGGACTGCTGGCAGAGCTGCCATCCTGGGCAGCTGGGAGGGGCCTTGACCTCCCCAACCCAATGAATAAAACCAACTGGAAATGCTCCTGGGTTGTATGCAGAGCAGCATAGTTTTAACAATAAGCTGATAGTCATTAATACTAATTGGTTAGTAGTCTGGACTGTTATAGCTCAAGAGCTGCTGAGTGGCACCTTCAGGCAGATCACAGGGGGCTTCAGGGTGGAGATCCCAGAGCATGTTGATGGCTAAAGCTGATCTACCTTATCTGCAGCAACCTCTGTGGTCTTTGTGTTGGCAAAGGAGGCCAGGAAGGTGGGTTAAATGTCTAACCCCCTTGGCCTCCTGCCTGGTGAGTCTGCAAGCAGCAGGAAATTTCTCAAGCAAAAAGTCATCTCTCATACATTGTGTTAAGATAAAGGCTGCCTTGTGAAGAAGGTATGACCCAGGAAAAACAGGACTGTTCCTTGTGTCTAATGACATGCAGTGGAGAGAGTCAGTTCAGACTCTAGCACAAGATCAAAGCCATGCATTGTGTTTACATCAGTTTTGATGAAAGATGCCACATGGAAACAGAAACCCCAATCAACGTTATCCAGGTCACAAAATAAGTTACACTCTCTCTGCATGATCAGGAACCTAGATAAGAAAATGGTGCTTCCCCCAGCTAATAGGAGGGTTTGTAAGAACCAGAAGAAGACTCAGAGTGGACACAAACTTTCCACCATAACTGCTTTGAATAAGCTTGTTAATAGAAGAAAATTAGAGACACTGTAATTTAAGAGATGGAAGACTGCTTCCCAAAAGTTAGTGAAACAAAGAGCCTGGTAAAACACTCTCCATGGTGTGCTCTAGTTTCTGACTCAGGTTGAATTTACTACAATTTGTGCCAAAGGAAACTGGAGGCAGAATTTGGACCTATAAGTCCAGCAGCTTCAGTTGATGTGATTTATAACTATAAGATGATAACTCACATTTAAGAGAAGGCTTCTGCATTAAAGACTTGTGAAGCTGCTGGAGCTGGGTTGATTGCACAGTACTATTAGCTACAAACTGCAGTTTCTTCCTGCAACTAATCGTGAAACTCGATTTGATTTTTGTCTTTCTCCTAGGTGAAGTGAAGGAGTCACTTAGGCTGGTGCTCTAGAGAGCTGTTTAGTTTAATGTAGGATTCAAAGTTTATTGACTTTTTATCTTTGTCAAATTCTTCCTATTGTGCTTTACATTCCTGCCAGAAATACCTTGGTGATTCTCTTGAATGCACAAATGGAAATTTTTCTTCCAGTTTCTTAGGGGAAACAGGAACAAAAACTAAAAAATTTGTTCTTAAAAGTACATCAGAAAAGTTTCTTACTGAAAGGGGTTTTCCCTTCTAATGAAAGACCACGCAGAGACATTCGCTGCATCTCTGAAGCACACAATGTACCATGGTCGAGTGTCATCAGTCTCCACGGATCTGCCACCATGATCAGTTTTACTTGAGAGGATTTTGTGATTTATTTATTTTTTATCCCACATACTTGAATACCCTGATCTGATTGCACAGAAACTGTGGAATCTCCAACCTTGGAAAATCTAAAAGCTCAACTTATCAATTTCAAGTTTGAGTAGAAGGTTGGAGTAGGCCCCCAGAGATATCTTTGAGATCACAATATCATAAAAGATATTCAGTATCAGTTAATGTAGCCTTAAAGGGGAGATGGGTATACAAGAATAATTCCTGGAGATAACAGGAAAATTCTCATAAAATGAGTAATAGCAAGCCTAAGATCTCAAGCAAGAACTTGTAACTTTTGCAACAACTTTGATATGCCTAATGGGGTACTAAATTTAGGTAACTGCATAGGTACATAGCACGACTAACATTTTTAAAAAGTAAAAATTAGATATATTAAGACAGGATTTTAACTTTCCCAAAGCATCCCATGGAATCAATCAAGTAATGTACAAAAAGCCACTGATTAAACAAATCAGTCTCTCTGAGCAGTTGACAATCACTCAGCTCTTTATTTAAATAGACTGTGCTTTTCTGAGTTTAGCATTTTGCATTTGTTATCAGTAATGACACTAAAGCTGTTGCACAGACATAACTCACTGACTTGGGTTGCAGCTGTAACAATATAGCAGTAACATGATCCCAAATTGTAATCTTTGAATGATGAGCTCCAAGAAGCCAGGTTGCTGCTTTATTGAGGCACTGTTTCATTCATGCTATGAATCATTTCCTTCAAGAAAATAGATGGTGAATTGATTATGTGTATGTGTGAATAGGCAGAAATATATATTAAAATTATTATCTCAAAATGTTCATAAATATAAATTAAATCTACAATTCCATAGGGAAGTGGGCTGTGCTGCAGTAATCTCAGACAGCAGCAGACAAGAAATATTTATTCCTTCATTTTTCTTTTCCCTCCCCATCCCCAAAATATTCATTTCTTCCACAAAACAACAATGAGCAAAGCAAACCCCCTCATGCTGCTGTAGACATCAATGGCAAGTCCCCAGCTTGCATGAGGGGTTCCCCTAACTGAAAAATAATACAGAATTTAAAGGTATAATACTGAGAAAAATGCATAAATATATTGAATGGCTTCTGTATGAAGAGCTACGTAGATTAGGATTTCTCTTTCTGGCTCAGAAAGGAGTTGGCAGAAAGGAAGAGCAGAGCCAGAATGCAGAATGACTACTGGAACATAAAAGCTGAACAGGAAAGATCAGCCATTGCTCAAAACTAAAAGCAGTAGAGTACCAAATAAAATTTAGTGACAAAGTATTTTTTAAAAAAGCATACTGTAGTTGTTGGCACAGGATGCTGCTGGATGTCAGGAATTTCTATCAACTCATAAAATGTTTAGCTAAATTGCTGTAGAAAAAAAAAAAATCTGTGAGAGTTTATTAAACTAAAGATACTCCATGGGAATCACTGACTTGAAGACAACTGGAAAAGTGTATGAGGACAGTGGTACTTTAAGCTGCTGCTGGAGGAGGCAACAATTTTTTAGTACTCTGAGTCAGGATATGGGGCTGGGATAAATCTTTGTTGTTATCTTTTAAAATGTTCCCATGTTCACGTAGCTTTAATTTGGTCAAAATAACTGAGTATGCATTACATGTAAATGCCTGCAAGTACATGTAAAAATTGTGAAATATAAATAATTGAAGGTTTTTTTCAGTAGTTCTTTCCTGTGGTAACTGTAGCATACATTTCAGCTGTAACAATGCTGTAGTTTCCAGCAGCAGCATGTATTGAAGTGCCAATACCTATCATTTGATCCAGTATTGGAGACTGAGCTTGCAACTTATCCTGCTTTTATAATGTTCTGTACCTTTCTGCAAGAGGCTGCTAAAGGGCTTGCTTCAGGGCAAATTACCTGGTTATTAGTATAACAGCTTATTTTTATGGCAGAAAGGAAGATACTTTATACAGTTAACAGTGAAATGGGAATTTATTAGTAGTTCTTGAGGGCACAGAAGAATATTATTTACTAGGGTAGTAGATCCAGCTGAGGGAATGTGTGTTCAGCCTCCTGCCCAGCTGTGTCCCCACTTCCTACAGCAGAAATGTGCCTCCTCTTCACACCTTCTGCTCTGCAGGTTTTGTTGCTTGCTTTGACACGTTGAGCATTCCCAGGATACCCTGGAGAAGGCTGTGGAATGAGACATGCAGGAGACAAACCAATAAATCTTAGGAATTTCAGAGGAATTTGGAAACCACGTGGTTCTGGTTGAAGTAATATTATAATAGAAAGAACTTTCCAGTTACTCACAAAAGCTCAGTGGGACCCAAAATCCTTCTATAAAGGCAATGTTGCTCATTTTTAGCTATTTTACCTGAGTACTGTCTTCTTCAGGTACTGCTGCAAATGTAAGGAATTTTGAGTCTATTTAAATCATAATCAAAGAGAAATTATTGTTTAGGAACTGGTACTGCAGTGCAAGAAATACTTGCTTCCATTTAAACAAGAGCTTAAAATCTCACCAGTTGATATACTTTTTCTTTTTTAGTTGGGATTAATCAAATTCCTGCAGAAACCTGTACAGATGCAGTAACACTGAGAATGCTTTCATGCCATGTTTGTTCACGATGCACCAACTTACTGTGCTCTTGAAGCAATTTGTGACTTCTTTTTAAAAAAAAAATCAAACCCAATCCCCCACTGATTAAGTCCGAATGTTTTTTCTATTTTCTTTAACATTTGGCCAAAATAACCCCAGAACACATCGGAAGAAGCAGAGATCATAAGCAATGAAAAAGCAGACACGTCTCCAGAGGCAGTGACTCCTGACAAGGACGAGAGCAAGAGCCCAGAAGCTGCAGAAGTGAAACCGAGAAGAGAAGAAAGTAAAACCCCCAAAGCGAACCTGAGGAAGTTTTTTAAACTGGTAAGCAAAGCGTTCATTGCGGGGCTGAGGTGGTAATTCTTGAAAAATATTAGGGAAATGCCTGAACCAGCTCAGGAGCGAAGCTGCGCCCGTGGGCAGGGGCGTGTGGCACGGGTGGGACCGCGCCCGGCTCACCCCCCGCTCCGCCTTGGCCCTTTTTCCACCCCCGCAGCCGCGCAACACGGCGGTTCAAAGGGGAGTTACCACGGTGGAAGCTGCAGCTTCCCACGCAGGGGATGCGAGCCCTAGGCAGGTGCTCCTGGAGGAAAAGCCCCGCAGCATCACCCAGCCCCCCAGCATCACGCAGCATCACGCAGCCCCGCGGCATCACCCAACATCACCCAGCCCCGCAGCATCACGCAGCCCCGCACCGCTCCGGTCCCGGGCTTTTAGTAGGGAAACATTTTCGGTGGCAGCTGTAGGTTGGCTAAAGTGGCACTTAAATAGTACAATTGCTGTTTTAATGATGTTATGTATTAGATGGGGGAAAAAAAGAGGCTCATTCTCCTTCCCAGGAGAAGTCTGGAGGGAAGAAGGAAACCACTGAGGTGATGTGGTTGATACAGTGATGTGGTTATAGAACTGAAGAACTATCCTGATGGATTTGTGTACAAGCAACAGCCAGACACAATTCCTTCAGAGAATCTAGAAGAGTGGCCAGGAAAATAATCCAAATTTAGAACTCACGCTTGTCTGATTAAAACTGTAGCAGACCTTGAGGATTTGTTTAGAAATTTATCTATTTTGGCAAGGTTTGCAAACAAGTATGAAAGATTTCTATTTTTAATCAGTGCTGGTTTATTTTCAGGCAGCTACATGGTGTGGGAGTCAGAGTAACTTATACATTCAAATGTGAAAAAACATAATTTCTTATAACACAGCGTAATAAATAGTCCAGGTTGTCCAAACTGCTCTTGGGTACATGCTGGTACCTACAGCTGAGAACAGTCACACTGTCAGCAGTTAAAAATTCATGTGTCAGATTCTGGAAGGTACAAGCAACACCCCAAATCCTGTTTAATGTATTATTTAAAAAATATTAGTGTTTCTGTTCTTTTCAGTTGTTGTTAACCTCAGCCCAAACCACAATGGGTACATTTGCTTTTTTTTCCTTCAGTAGAAGAAAAAGTACTTGACTAGTTACTATGTAGCTAGTCTGGTGTATTTGAGGATCCACACTAAAATTCTTAATATCAGCCATGAATTATGCACCCAATGTGCTTTTAATTCCAAATAACACTTTACAAAATTAGTCGCTTTGGAAAAATCTCAACCTTGTTCCTCAATCCAAAAGGACTTGTGGTCATCCTGCATAGAGGCTCATCATGGTAGCACATGCTAGGCATGCAGGAGCAATGTGTATCCAACATTGATGTCTGTGGTGACTTCAACTCATGTCCCCCCTACCAAAATAAAAAAGTAGCACTGATTAAAAAATAAAGCTGTTCCACACCCATCTTAGTCACCATGGTAAGTAAATAAAAGCTGAGTTAGAAGTGGTAGATGTAACACTGCCCTAGTCTAGTATAGTACAGATTTGGGGCTAGAAAGAACTAGTATGTAGGCAAACATCTACCCACATGGGAAGCAGAATTGTCTTAACTGTGCAACTGGTTTTGCAGCTTTTTTGAAACCTTTAGCATCCATCTGCTTTTGGCTATCAATTTCCAAACAGATTGTGGATTGTTTTTATGTATTGTCCTTGAAGTATGTTCTAGGCTTTTTCCTCTCAATAACTTTTGGATTACTGGATCACTGCCATGCTGTTGTGCACAATCTGAGCTATGTAGCTGCCCTAGAGCTTTGTGCCAAGTGGCCAGCCAGTATTTCTGATTCCTAAGGCAGACAGGATTCTAAGCCACTGCTAAACCACCAGCTTCTGTAAAGCTTTTGAACTAGTAGTGAGTACTGAAAATGTACAAAATGTTTAAGACTCCAACACAGGCTTGATTTTTCTCACAAGGAAAAGTGGGGGAAGCTGCAGTGCTGTGGGGCTGAGACCAGAGATGAATCCTGCAGAGATGCCTAACAGAGCCCTTTAGCTCTGAACAGCTCTTGTGGCAGGCCATGTACTGGAAGGTATGGTTTCCACCCAGAAAAGGTTTGCTTCCACTGCAGTTTTTTCCTGAGGTCTGGCTACCCTACAGTAACAGCCACGAAGTGGAAGAATTCCTGAGCCAGGTTTGCAATAGCCACCTCACCCCTTGGCACCGGCATAATTCTGGCACCATGGGGCTCAGAGCAGAGCAATTTGAACATTTTGAGGAGCTGCCATTTGCAGCCTTCCCAGTCCTTGTGCTACTGTCATTAGTCTGCTCTTTCTACTAATGCTAGTTAGTTTACAGCTAACTCAGTGGGAAATGCCTTGAGGTGGTATCAGAGCCTGGACAAACCTGGCCACCCAGGGGATGCAGGTCACTGCCTCATCCAGCAGGTCCCCTTGGAGCACTCCTGCTTTGCTGCAGATAAGCAAGCCATGAATTCTTTAAGATAGGATCTTAACAAGCACAAGTATTGATGATCTCTGAAAGAAATCATGCTCGTCAATGGGAAGGAATGTGGCAGGACTTACTCCATAAAACCCAGGTTCTTGCTTACTGATACACTTTACTGGTTAGTCTCCATTCTGGCAATAGATGGATTATAGCTATGGCTGCTGAGAGAGACTGACTTTTAATTTTACATTAGTATGATAGTCTACTGGGTTTCTCTTCTGCCTGCAGAAGATGATCCCAAGGTATTCTGATAACATCCACAGTTATGTTAAATCTATCACCCAGGTGCCTGAGAAAAGAACCTTATTTTCTTAGGAGTTTAGACTAGGACTCAAGTTGTTTAATACAACATTGGTCTATCATGGTCCTCAGAAACTTCAGTCAGTTGTCCATGTGCCTCTGTTTTGACATATTCAGCTCAAGAGAGCACAACCTGACAGCAGGGAGACATCTAGATCCATAGCACTGCAGCAGTGTTCACACAAGGACAGCCACTGTGGGAACTAGGAGTACTTTACTCTGAAAAAGGCAGTGTGATCTCAAGACTGCCTCCTGACTTGGTCAGTGCAGGTGCCCCTTCTTACTTGTGATGGAATTGTTTACAGTTGAGAAGGTGACAAAAGTAATTGCTGTGGTTAAAGTAGGAGAGGATTAACTAATGCTATAAAAGCTACTGGGAAATTATGGAAAGAAAGTATTAGTTTCAATCTCTGTGATTCAGTAAGAAATTAAGAAATACCACTGCTCTTTTACGGAACTAGGCTTCACCCACATGAATGTGAATTCCTGTGCTGCCAGTAGACAGTCACTCATGCCTCATTAATCAAAATCAAATAGCTATCTTATTTACAGGGTGGGATACATCAGACCCAGTGCAGATGTCTGGACAGAAATGCTTGCACCTGAGCTAGTCACCCCAGGTTTCCTTTAAAGGCAGCAAGTAGAGGCAAGCAGGTCTGAGTGCCCCTTAAGACCTAGGACACATCAGATGATGAGTCCTGAAAGCTCCTGCTTTTCTCCATAACATACAAACAGATGCAAAGCTAGGTAAAAATAAATCCTTTCAAAAATGTCTGGTTTTGAGGCATTTTGTGGAGATAAGCATGTAAAATGGCAGCTTTTAATCATAATGAGCAGAATTACCAACTGTAAACTGAGCCTTTGTCCTCAGCTGGGAAGCTGACTGGCAGCAGGGTTGGTCTGAGACAGCACTGACCACAGCCTCTGCAAACAGAATTGCTGGATTAATGAAGATACTCCCAAGGAGAATATATCTTTCTGGTGTAACAAAAGAATATTATTTCCAAATTGTCTTCAGTGTCTGTGTTGGCCCACTTCCCCACATGAATACATTTTAAGTAAAAACAGTACTTGGAATCAATAATAACTTTGTTGTCCCACATTGGTTTTCCTTTGTTATTCATGAAAATGTAGCATCTATTACTGGTCCCATCCTCCTCCACTTAAAGATATGCTGATCCACCTTATTGCCACAGAAAGCAGAAGACCTTTTCAGGAAGCTCTCAGCAGCAGCAACCCTAAATGACCAAAGGCAAGGGTGAGAGGTCAGAAGCACTCTGGAGAGAAATCCTTGTGATCCTTACCTATATATATACTGAAAAGTATTACTAAAGATGGGCTGAAATAGAAATGCAAACTAGATCTTATCATAATACATCTTCATATACTCTGGACTGAGTTTCTATACTGTAATGTTAAGACAGACCACACTGTGCTTCCTCTCCCCATTTCTGTAACCTCTTACACAGATAAGGAGTCACGAGCATAAACATGCAGGAGGCTTCACAGCAGCACGTTCCAGAAAGACAATTGTTCCCACAATTTGTGACAAATGCAGGATCGTCATGGAGTGGTTTAGTTTTCTCTCATGCTGCTGCTACATATTGATTTGTTGTGGGTTTTTAGGAAAATAGGAGACTGTCATTGCAATAACACCAGGCATAGGATCAAACTGGTAATGTTGTGCTTCAAGTAACAATGTACAAGCTGCCGAAAACCACAAATCTGCCTGATCTATCTTTAGAACGAAAGTCACATCCTTTCATTGTTTTCATTGAACTTATGCAATGAAAAATGACATTTAAATTTGGGCAGTTTGAAATTTTCGAGTTTGTGCTTTACTGCTAAGCTCTGTGGCTTATATGCTACCCAGGAGAATACCACGTTGAACCCTCTAACATGCTTTTTAAAGAAACATACATACTATTCCTTTTGTTCCTTTTATATTACTAATTGTAGCTAAACCTTAATCTAATTGTCACAAAGCTTGTATTTTTTTCTCAGTGAGCTAGTTATGTCAAACAGGTCTTTCTCAATTTTTAAATCTAAACGAAAACAGGGGATTGTACCTTAAAAATGTATTTCAGAGTCAAGGTTTCCTCTGAATGACCTGCCAGTGCTGCAGCCTCAGGGTCTGCTCTCATTGTCCTCGCTGGGAAGAGCAGGCACCAGGAAGGGCCATTACTGAGATGTATTGAGAGAGAAGACATGAACTGGAAAGCAAAATTTGCTAAAAATGGATACTGATGATAAAATATAAAAAATATATCCATAAAGCTGAGTGGGTTTTAATTATTCACGGAATATGCACTTAGTATGATTGTTAAATAGAAGCAAAGTCCCACTAGATCTTATAAAAAAGATTCGCCTCTTAAAAGCAAGCAAAAGCTCTTTCCTAGAAAACTGCAGTGGCAGGACTGATAGCACTGTCTTGTTTACTGGCTGATATGATCTCTGGTCTACTGAGACCTCATTCATATTTCTCAGACTTGCAAGAGACAATCACTTCCCATAGAAAAGAACTGGCAAAAACCTGCCTTAGAGATGGGGGTATTTAAAAAATATTAGTAGAGTTTCTGAAATGTCTGGTTTTGGTTTTGCATTGTAAAGAGGATCCTAAAATCAAACTTTGCCTTCTTTGATTTATGTGTGTTTTCTTATTAAATTAATGCCTCAAACAGGAACCCAGTTAGAAGTCCTATAATCCTTTGTTATTTTAGTCAGTCAAGGGTGATGGAGGAACAAGCAGTTCAGAAGAGGTAAATGGCCCAAGCCCCAGTCACCAAGTAAGTGCCTGGATTTTTTCATCTTTTGGTGATGGGTTGTGTCACCTACTTCCATACAACTCTGGCTTTGGAAGTATAAAAATCACTGAAAGGAAAAGGCTACATGCTCACCAAGCTTCATATATTTACATATTTCTATACTTACATATTTGTTTTACCTATTCACACTATTAAACAAGATTTTCAAGGGTCACGATCAGATGAAAAAAAGCACGTTTTTCCAGGTGTGTTCCTTTTCTTAAAATATTGGTTTTGTTCAATTTGATTCCTATCTCTCTTCCTATTATTTTACTTCCTGCATGTTGCTTGGCTTAGGCAATGAAACTAAATACAGCTAGAATATTTTTTACTTTGTTGATTTACTTGTCTGCTGAGGAAAGGATCATTTATGAGGAAACTCTATAGAAGAGAAATTTAACTGAGAATGAAAAACATTCACTGCAATTTGATGAAAGCCATGAAAATATTTTTTTTTTATTCTGTTTGTTTCTTTCCTTCTATATTCATAAAAGCTAAACCCAAACTTTGGATGTGATCATGATATTATATGCTTTATAGCTTTAAAAATGCTTTAGAAAAATCACAATTTCATTATACAAATACTGTTACCTATTCTGAGAGTCAAACTCATCTGTTCCAAGTCAAGATATCCAGAATAATTACACTCATTAACAAGAAATATAACACAGTTTCTGTCTATAGGCATAAGGTTTCCTTTAACCTGAGAGCAAAACTGACCTTTCAGAATTTCCTTTTTTTTAAATCAATAATAAAATTACATTCTCATTTCTCCTATTTGCCTGATATCCTATGATACTAAGGTTAGCCTTTATGAATAATTTCTCTAAAAACATCCTAAATGTAGAAGGTCTTGTCTTGTAACATTTATTGCTTATTTCATACAGCGGGTTTGTGAAATCATGTGGGTGAGTATAAGTTACAATCCTGGGTCTACTTTTTATTATTGTAATTAGCAGCCAGTTTCCTTCCATATTTTTTTAATCAGCTTTAGTCTTCTTTCTCTCACTTGCACTGGTGTAAATTAGCACAGTTTTACTACACAGAAGAGCTCAAGAAGAACTGTATCTGCTGTTGACTTTTTCCTTATTTAGAATTTCTGTGAAATGATCTCCTTACATGACGCTATCACATCTCTGGAATGCTGTGATTCTTCTTTGCTTTTCATCACTGTCACTGTGTGCCACAGACATGCATTACAACATGGATCCCAAATCTGCAGAAATGTACAGGTCTGCCTTTTGTGCTTAAAAAGCAGTCTTGGATCGAGACTTCCTTGTAGCATAATGGAGAAAAACATTATCCTGGGGTTTTTGGGTTTGTTGGGTTTTTTTGTTGTTGTGGTGTTGTTGTTTTTTTAGTGGCACTGTTACTGTTGAGAGAGTAAAAGCAAATCTGTCAGGTGCAGATCACCCTTTAGAATAAGAAACATTAACATGTTTCATTATTCATAGGCTTCACTTTGTATTTCCTGAGCTGCTTCCATCAATATCAAATTTGCCAATTTCCTGCCTTTCAAGGTTAATATGAAACACCTCAAAGAGATTATCTGATTGGAATTTATTTATATATTTTTCCTGGAAAACATATTATGAATATTTTTTTAAGTGTTTTGTTTGACTAACATCAAAGCCCAAACCTGCTCAGAGAAACAGTCCTTTTGCATCCAGTTTGGATTTGGCTGCACTACTGTTACCATGAGTCTCCTACACAATAAACACGTGTGGCGAGGAAGACTCAACTCTGACTTTACACCTGCAGAATAAACCCACAGATTTCATAGCATGTTAGTAAAGGTTAGAAGTTGTTCTGGCACCTTTGAACTCAGACATATCCAGTCTCACAGCCGTATTTGGGGAGCTCTAGTTATTTTTGAACTGAATATGCACATTTGCAGTTGTACCAAAAAGAAACATTTTGGAAGCAAACTAAGGCGGAGAAGAGTAAGAAGGATCCTGTCAAACCAACCAATGGGTTCAGTAACTTAGAGCATCCTGTCTGATAGTTTAAAATGAGTCAGAAAGAAAGAGACAGAACTGCATTTGGGTTTATGAAGTTCAGTTCTTCCCTGAGCTGGGGGAGCTCCTGCATCACTTGGGTGCTCAGAAGTGCATCCAAGCAGATCCCTCTCCTCAAGCGAGGGGAGCAAGATGCTGGCAGCGCACGGTGGCAGTGCAGCCCCAGGTGACAATTCTGGTCATCGAGGTGACTGAATTTGCTTTAATAAACTATTGGCACTCAGAGGGAGCCTGCCTGTGGTGTATGGGGCTACTGATCACCTGCAGCTTCAGATTTCCTGTGCTTTATCTCCTGCAGAACCAGAGCAAAGACTAGCTTCATGACTGTAGTTTTTAATTCAAAAAGCACACAAAAAGCCAGATACAAGCAACTATATACCCCCTGTTATGTATTGCCTTTGGAAAAGGAAATTGTTAAATACAAGCACATATTTTTTTGAGGACTTAAGCTAACTGGTCAAGATTGAATGTATTAAATGATCGCAGGTTCTGTAATTTAAACATGGGGGATTTTTTCAGATTATATGGGGAAGAAAGGTGAATCAACTGAAAAAGACCAGGGGTTGTATTGCTACTCCCTCTCATTCTTATTTCCCCTCAATTAGAGAGGCTTGAGGTTTGTTTTTTTAAATAGATATGAGAGGTGTATTTGCATTCTGTTTCTCTAGAGTTTCTGCTTTCAGGTTTTTCTCTGAAATCATGATGTCTAAAAATGTATTTGTTTTTAATGAAAGGTAGACTTGTCACATAAGGGTAAAATTCTTGGCCTTTATAAGAACACCAAATATTTCAAAACTCAGAAGGTAAAATCCCCCAAGTTGGAAAAACTACACAGCATTAATCTCTGGGCTATGCCTTGAGGGCAGATGTAAGATTGTGTGCTATTTTAATTATGTTAATAAGGCAACATGATTTTTTTTCATCAGAAAAATCTTATTTGCAAACAGATCTCTTAGCAAAACCTTATCTAGCCATTTGCTGTGCTGCAAACAGCAACAGTTGCACTGTCTTGTCCTTTGTTTGCCAGATCTGATTTTTCTCCTGTGCACTTCAAATATATCCCATAATTCTCAAAGTTCCAGAATCTTTTCCTTTACTATAAATAGGTGTTCTGTCATTATGTTTGTCTTGGGAATATTTGCTCTCTCTTCTTTTGCATTTGCACATAATTTTTTTTTTTGGTGCTGTGGCCTTCCATAGCCAAACTCTGTTGTTAATTTTTTTGCTGGAGGGTTGCATTTTTAGAGGGGACTTGTTTTTATCCTTTGCTTTATGGTGTCTTTTGCTTCTTTTTTCTCCCAAGTCTTTCCATTGCACTTTTTGGGTGCTTTCACAGACTGGGATGGAAAAACTGGGGGAGTTTTGTGCCTCTCCATGCATCTTCTCTGCCTCCTAAAACAGATCCAGCATAGACATGCACAGAAATAAAGCAGGTCTATGCAGGGATGGTTTGATCTTGCAGTCTTTGGTCAAGTAAGTAATTCTATCAGTTCCCTGGGAGTCCTTCTGTATGTCAAGGCTGCAGGAGTTTGTCCCAAACTGTAAATGAAAACGTGTTGGACAGTAGGATTTCTCTCTGCCAGGTGGCCTTTCATTTCTAAATATATTTATGGATTGCCTTCCAAAATGTTTACATTGCACACTAAAAATAACCATTGTTTGAAACTGCTTTAGACATTAAACTCCACAGAGAGGCCAGTTGCCCCAGCTGAAAGTGAACCTGTGGGCCAAAAGAGCAAAGAGAGTTCAAAAGACAAGAAGTCTTCAGTGGTGCTGAGCAAGCAAAAGGGCAGCAAACAGGAAACCAGGGAGCAGCCAGACTCCAGGGAGCAGCCAGCAGCCGAGACCGACTCCATCCAGAACGGAGGAGACTCTTCGAAGGAACCCTCCTTCAAGAAGACAGAGAAGAGGCAGTCACTCGGAGGGTTTTTTAAGGGTCTTGTACGTTAACTTCATCTTACCTTTATAGCCATTTTTCAGCTGATTTCAGCCTGCAGCCTGCAAGCTGTTAACTATGCAAGATTTGTGCTCGGATGGAGTGCCCCTTCACGAGCAGCTTGTGGGGCTACAGTCAGAGAGCAGCAAGTTTTTTGGGCAAAGGCAAGAAAACTTGTGCCTTAGGGTACTGATTCACAGGCAGGTGTGGTTTACTATGGGAGAGCTGTAATTGTTCCCACACCCCTGTTTTAGAGGTTCATGCTTTGGCTACGGCGATGACTCAGCTCTTCCTGCAGCAGGTACTGAACCACCTACAAATTATGGTGTATTTCTAAAGGGAAAGTGGAGGTGGTGCTGGTTTCCCAGAGTAACCTGCCTGCCATCATAGTGGCTCAGCTGCTGCTTCAGAGCAGTTGGGACAACCCTGCCGGGTGGGAAATCCCTGCAAGTTAAAAATCAAGGTAGGCCACTGGGTGGGTGGGAACCAGTTTAGTGGTCACTAGATACATGCCTCATGTTAGCAATCAGTTATAGACTAGTTAAAGCACACCAAAAAATACATGTGGTATTTTTTCTTCCTGCTTTGTTTTGTTATATCTTACCCTCAATTTGCTATGTCCCCTTCAATGGCACCTGAAATGTAGAAATGAATTCAGTGTAGTTAAAATCCAGGTTTCTATAAGGTTTGGTGCTACTGATGCAGCTAGTGGTTCCTCAGAGCATTAAATAGATAGAAACCCTTTTTTCCCCCCGTGTCCATATTCAAGGGCCAATAACAGCACAGGTTAGACCTGAGACTGCCACTCAAGCCTCTGCAAGATTTCCATTGCTTTTTATAAATCAGTTGGAAGGATGCAGTTTGTTCCTCTGTCCTCACACTGTCCCACCTGCAATGAATCCACAGAGCTATGGGGTCATTGGAAACCTTGTGTGTAAACTAAGCTTCATGACCAATTTCAAGTGATGTAAAGAAACTAAACAGATTTGACTGCTCCCTGCAGTGATTCTTAGTGAATCTGGCCCCCTGAGAGACATACAGCTTTTCTTCCTTCCTATTCTGCTTCTAAGGCTGTCAGGAAAGAAAAAGCCAGCTAGACCATCCTCCAGGCCTGAAGGAAGAAAAGTCAAGCAATATAGATTGAAATGGTAATGCAGATTTGAAAATTAGCCTTGTTAGGATACTGGGTTATAAAGTCAGGCTGCCATGCAGACCAGTATGACTCATTCAGAAGCAGATGTTTTTCTCTATCAGCAGTGTTTCATTTGCACACATTTCACAGAATTACTGTGGATCCTACTGAGGGCCATTTGCATTACCATAATAATTACACATAAGAGGAATTAAGAACAAAAGGGAAATAACTTTCTGCAATACTGATTAGTTCAGCCACTTCTGCTGTTTTACTCCATTATTCTGGGGTAAAATCCCCATCCAACACAAAATCAGTGGGATTTTCATGTAATTTCAATGAAGCAAGGAAGTCCTGGCTTCTACCTGGAGTAACTACCAACTTGCAGTGACTTCCGTACGCCTTGGCTCCTCCAGCAGTGAAATCAGGAGTTCCATTATTTAAACCACTTAGATGATGGTAAAAGATCTCTTACATCAACTGGAGGGGAGGAAGACAGCCACATTTTTCTGGCATAAGTTGTCTAAAAATGGGGCAAATGTTAACTACCTCTGTTCTTTCCAGAGATGATTGAGATTTGTTTCTCCGGTCTGGAGGTTTGTTGAAATGTAGTACTGACATCCCTCCTTCATCAAAATACTTACCGTTGCCACTGTGTGTGAAAGGGTTTGTCTGTTGACAATTGGACTCTATTTTGTATGGTGTTATTCATCCAAACTTTATCTAGAAATCTTTCCTAAAGTTTAATAATAGGTACAAATTTAGAATTATTCCAGAGATGGCGATATGAGGAGCCAGCAAGGAAACATGGTTTCAAATGCAAGTTCATGAAAGAGAGAGGCAGGAAAGGTTTCTCTGATCCAAAGGACAAGAAAAAGCTTTTTTGATCAAGAGAGGGGATTATGAAGAGGTAAAAGGCCATTTGGGGGAAAAAAATGCAGAATAGATGTAGAGGAAGTAGAGATGTTCTGTGAGATATTTTTGCTTGCTTACGTAGTATGTCAGACAGCTTGGCTGTATAGTCCTTTATCTTCTGTTGCAATTATAGAGGTCAACATTACTCCTACAGCTTCTCTCTCTCATTAACAAAAGATGGTTCATAAAAAAGATATTTTTTATAATACTATAAATTATTTGGTTGTTTATTGTCCTGTTAAACTGGGAGGAAAAAAAAAAAAAACACAATAATGAGGTCTTCGTATGGAAAATACCTCCCAGAAAATTACTGCCTCTTTCTGAATATCCTCAAGATTACCCTCACCTAAGGAACCTAATTCTGCAATGCTGCTAAGAAGTGCTGTGCACATCTCCTAGGTGATCATACTATGTCCCAGAAAGGTGTAATCATTAATCTAACTGTATTAGATCACACACAAGCCGATGCCAGAATTTCCATTTCAATACAACAGCTCAAATACCTGGTAGCAATTCAGCAGAAATATTAAGCTTTATGCTGATAAAATAGCAGCAGAGGACACTCAACAGCAGATCCAGGCCCTTGCTCACAAACTGCCCACCAAGCTCCTCCTAAGTTCTGGTGAGGTATTTCAATAGCAGCTATTTTAACACTACTCTCCTGAATCTGTCAATTCCTCTGGGAAAGGGCACTGAGG